TCCCTGTATCGCTAAATCCATTCATTGTTTATTTAAAACGTTGTAAAGTAGAAGATTACGCCACTGCGTCAATTGCTGTGGGAATGGCTCGGTCAACAAGTGTTATACCACGATCACACTATACAAGATAGAAGAAGAAATGTGATGTGAAGGTGAGCTCGACAACTAACGTAACAAGCTTTGAATTAAACTTTAAACTGCAACAAGTGTTATTTAAATTAGAGGAATAAGAAAAGTCTGGAGTCGGGGCAGCGGCCGTGCTGCCGCAGCAACAGCAGCAGCAGCAGCCGGGCTGCTCGTGTGGCAGCGTGTGGCAGTGGTTGTGGAATGCCGGCCGAGGCCGCGCTACATTTCCGTCGGCCATTGGTATGCAAAGCACGGCCCGCTATAAAATATGGCATGCGATGTAATCGACGGCAGTAACGCGAGTTATTTATAATATTATGTATTATTAAATGACCGAATTATAGCAATCGACGAGCTCCGGCGGTGGAGCGCACTGACTTTGTGATGTGGGTATTATTGATATGAAGACGTTATGAACTTTTTAATAATGCACTTGCTGGGAACATAAACTTTGAAAATAGTCATTACTTTTGTTTAATAGTTAAGTTATTTATTACTCAGTCGCAAACGAACCTTATCACATAATTTATATATCCCAAAGTAAAAAACTACGACTAATAAGTCATACAAACAATAACAATTTGATTAGAATGCGCCGGCGCCCGCCCCCAGTCGCTGCGCCGCGGTAGCCCACCGGCGACTGTGCTGAGTGGTGCTGGGCTGTGCCGCGCCGTGTCACATCTTGACTAGTCTAATGTTAGTCTCTTTCCCTTGCTATCCATTTCTTAAGAGGTAGGGATTGCTCGTTTGTCACCTTACAGTATAACAAAAAAAAGTCTGTCGGCATTCGGTGTTTAATTTGAGATATATAAATACCGTTCGACTCAAGATCGACGAAAGAAGAAGTGAACTGAGTGCGAGGGGCCGCGTGGCCGCGGGCTGCTGACGGGTGAGACACCGGCACCGGCCCTATCCGCGGCTCGCGGTGTGCACTACTAACTCCAACTCGTAAAAAAGCCCCAAGTGTTCGTTCCCGCGTTTTTGGCGGTTATATATATAATTCGATCTATTCTTACCCGTAGACAAAACAACGGAGGCGCGCCGCTATTGTGTTAAGAAATGTATTGCTAAAATTGTTTTAAAAAATTATACGGTTTACATAAAAAAAGCTAATCTTCTAAAAGGTCCAGAACATTCCCTAGATAGTAGGTAGCTACAGGATTTGTCTTAGTCTCAAAACGATATCGTATTTTTGAATATCACTTATAACAAAAAGTTACAATGCTTTAGCAATAACAGGATACCATCATATGACATTTAAGCAGTCACTAAACATACAACATGTACCTATTGCTAAAGCTGTTTATTCGACATTTAACTATACAACTTATGTTAAACTAGCTGTTGCCCGCGACTTCGTCCGCGTGGTATTAGAAAACATACGAACTATTTAAATAACAAAAAGCTACGTATCCCTCGGGAACCGGACATTTCTCGGGGATGAACCGTATCCCATGTGTACTCCAGACTTTGTTTTATGTCGGTGCCAAATTTCAATAAAATATGTTGAACTGTTGCAGAATGATCGAGTAAACATTAAAAAATAAATTAAGTAATCCCACGGGAACCGTAATTATTCCCGGGAATAAAAAGTAGCCTATGTGTTCTTCCAGGCTATGCTCTATATTTGTGCCAAATTTCATGGAGATCCGCTCAGCCGTTTAGACTACAAACGCTAACAAACATCCATCCATCCATTCATCCATTCATCTAAACTTTCGCATTTATGATATTAGTAAGAGTAAGATTAGTAAGATAGTAGCATTCATTGCTCCTGGCGCTTCGGAAGTTGCTCATAGCATTGTAAAAAGCGGACTTCGACACTTGCCGTTGTTATATTGCGAAGCTACTTTCCGTGCGGCTAATGACGCGCTTCGTTCCCCGCGCCGTCCTCGCGCCGTCCCCGCGCCTCCTCATGCCGTCATCAAAGCAAACGCCGCCGCCGTGCCATTTTCCCATTTCTCATTCCAGTTTTTCAATTACTTTGTCATGCAAAAGAACCACATGCGACTGCATTTGCAGAGATTATGAATTCACGTCGGTACACACCTTCTCACACTGCTCCTTATAACATCTCATCATCAAGTTACGCTGTATGGCTATTTTTTGTGGTTATCACTCATATTTCTGCTTGTGTGTGGGTGTGTATCACCAGTAGAATGTCCTCCCATTGGGCCTGACTCGAGGACACATATAATGTCTCTGCCATCGTTTACCCGAGTCCCGCTCCTTTTCACTGCCGGCGCAGTTCTTGCGATATCAAAACGGCACAAAATACTTTGCAAATCAGAGTTACAGCCGTCTTTTCATAATAATCTGTCCTACATTTCATAGGAACTTTGTAAGAAGGTAGAGGCGATTTCCATAATTTTTTGATGAAGTACAAATATCATGAATGCGCGGGAGCAGTGCGTGTTGCAGCCTGAGCGAGGATACAGACGGGGCGAGGGGTGCGGAGCGCGGGTCTGTGCGGAATGTTCCTATATCGGTATCGGCGCGCTAACTCTTTACAAATATGCTTAATGACCAATTAAAAATGTATATAAAGCGTTAATTACGAAAAAAATTGTCGCAGCGCTTGAAGCGGACTGGAAAGTTGCTCCCGGCCTAGACAAGTTAATAACGACTTACCGCGAGCGCTAAGGGCGCGCGCACACTGCCCGCAGCCCGCACCTGCCCGCACTTTACAATTGCTATTTGCATGCAAAAACATTTTACACACTATCGAAAAATTATGCATACGTACATTAAATATTTACATATGCACAAAAACATTACCCGCTTGCGATCGGTAATTAGTTTAGGCATAAGATGTAAATTAGAATAAACGGTGTCACGACACGAAATCACCGCAAATACTCTGCAAATGTTACGACATGTCCCTCGCCGCGCTGCAGCCGCGCTACCGCGATGCCAGTCAGCGCTGTGGCGGCGGCAGCGGCGGTACCTCAGACAAAGTGTTAATGATTATCAATAAAGCTTTGTTTTGAGGAGCAACATAATACAAAGTAGATACCTAATGTTACAAATATTTGCTGTCACTATAATAATTTCTTAAACAATATCGGTCTGCGGATCCCTAGGGTCGAAACGCGTCCACTCGGTGCCACAAAAAGCAGTGAAGTGAGCTCGGGACTTTGTATCTTCCCTGCCCCCGCCGCCTGCCCCAGCGGCTGCGATGCGCCGGACTTCATCCAGATCTTATCACATTATATAACAGTAATTAGATGAACAGATAGTCGTAGGTGGGCGAGGGCGCGGCCGTGCTCATAGTGACTACTTATCCGTAAAGACCATCATCCAGCCCGGCGTGGGTCTCACTGCGCAGTATACATTGCCCTGCGGGTTGCGGAGCGCCGGCGCCTCAGACTGCCTCAGCTTTACAATCATATATGTTTATGATATTCACAAATTACCCACGGACGTCAGAAAGTATTGTTTCAGAGCGGGTAACTGTAAAGTTATAGGTTATTGTTATTGTGTTAAAGTGGCCGTAGAACTTTCAATGAGATTGATTTCATTTTACTTGTTAAAAGCTTTGGCGATTACAGCTGGCAACCCTGACCGGCTGTCCGGCCATCTTGTTCGCTTGGTGCGGCCTTGCGGCCGGGGCGCAATGACAGGCTTTGTCGGATGGGTTCAATATTAATGTAGCTTTTGATAAGGAAAGAAATACAATTTAAATAGATTAGGATTATGAGATAGAAAATTAAACAAAATGCTATTGCTCATGGGAGTTGCAAACAGCGCAAAGATGGCGAGGCGCGGGGTGTGGGGCGAGGGCGCGGGGCGCGGGGCGCGTGGGATCCGCTCGCACTTGGCATGTTTTTGCTCGGCGTAATGGGACCTAATGCTTTGAAACTAAAGCAGCAGGGACCGGATAATACGATCACTTAATACGATTTTCCGCATAAGACGCGCCGTGTTGTCGCTCTCGCGAATTCAACACATTCCTCATTCTGCCGACTGCCGGCTGTCGGCTGCTGTGCCCTCTGGCGTGAGTGCAATGCGTGACTAATTATATTAATATTTATAATGCAACTTATCAATCGCAAATTGTTATTAGCTCTTTGCGGGTCTCAGCGGCGCGTTTGCAGCTAATGTTCTAATAATTCAAAATTAATCACTGCAATAGTCGACCGTTTCATTCGCTTTAGTAAAATTAAAGCTGCAAATTGTCCTTCATAGGCACGCTGCAATAACGATAGCGAGCGTGGTGGCCGTGCGGAGTAATAGCACAAGTAAGCGGAGGAAGTTGCTCTGATGGTCACCTGCCCTACATCACAGGTCATTGCCAAGGGCGCTGGGCGCAAGGATATTTTACAAAGGCCTAAACACATGACGTCTACGATGTCGGCTGACGCGCCGCGCCAATGCGAACTTACGGCTTTGCTCGGGGATGGCCACAAGCGTGAGAAATTAAAATCGTCATGTATGTGATAGACACGTCGCTCTCTCATCTCTACACATACACATACATTTTGTAATTGAAACATCACAACAATTTGTAATTATTACATAGAATTCGTGTTGCCGACATATGCCCTATGCTTTTATGGCCCTGTATTTTAAATAGTATTTATAATCAATTTAAAAATTATATTCTTAAAAAACTAGCCAACAGGTATCCTTGTAAATAGTGAAACGTTTTTTTTACTGTAACATATCATTATGTAGGTAACTAATTGCGGCCAAAATCCTAAATGAAAAACATTGGCAAAAGCCATAACATTTATGTACATACACCAATTCGATGATATTTAGTAATTTACTTGAAAGTTTTATAAATAGATAAGTACGATCAAAACCAAACATGTTATAATTTATTTCAAGGAGACTAGAAGAGGTTACGGTACCAATCATACAAAATGCGTTTGTTTCTCGAAATGTTCTTCGCATGAACAAAGCAATGAGTAGTGTTTTGTTTGAGGTACTGCTAATGCAGATGTGTGTTGCGGATTGTGAGGCACGTGACAGCAGTCTGCAGTCACCACCAGGCAGCAGTCTGCAGGCAGCAGCGGACACTCACCCGGTCGTACTGGAAGTGCGGCGCGTGGTGGAAGGAGCGCGCGGCGCCGCGCCCGTACAGGTAGGGGTAGTAGGCGCCGTACATCCCGCGCCTCAGCGCCCCGGCCGCGCGCGCGCCCGCGCCATGCCGCGCCCCCCGCGCGCACCCCGCACCGCCCGCGCCTCACCCACCGCCTCCTGACAAAACAACATCACATGTAAGTAAACTGACACATATCCACAAAGGGTCTGCTATGCATTGTGTCCGCGCGCTAATCATATTAGCTGCAGCCAATGCGGAAGCCGCTGAGGTCCGCGGCCGCGCCTCTCGCCGCATACGTCGCACCATTTTAGTAATAAGTAATGAAAGTATGAATGTGTGGAGTCTTCCTCTTTAGAGACAAAGACAGAGTTGGAAGTGAATATAGCTGCTTAGAGAGGAGCGGGGCGCGCGGGTCAGGGGCGGGCTGCGTGCCGTAGCAGGCGGCGGCGGAGCGTTTTCTGGGAACTCGAGGAAATCACAAAAACTTGCTACACTTAGATCCCGATGCCGCGGTCGGTGAATTCGCGCTAACAGTAGGATGACCACGACGACCGGGGACCACAGGACAGGTGCCACCATTTTAAATATCATAACGAAGCTTTCGTATAAGTATTTTGAATGTAGGTATTTATTTCTTTCGGATAAACATAAAAACAAATTGTTGGCCTCCGCCCCAGCCCGTAATCGTTCGTGAATTTGACTGCACTTTTTAAGACAATTTGTATCGTATATGTGCTGTAACAAAATAAAGCTGTAGCATGAATGTGAATTAGCCTCCTGTAATATAACTTCATGTATGAACAAACTCCACACCTGACTTGAGCACACGTCGCTTTATCGAGCGAAGTTTATGATATGGTGAACAGTTAACTACATTTAGAGGGCGCGGGGTGTGGGGCGGGGTGTAGGGTGAGGGGTGGTGGTAAGCGGGGCGGGGACTTCATTCTGTAATATCATGCTCAAAATCATAATTATTTAATTTTCACCCCCTTAAGGAGCCGCGAGCTATCGAATCGAATTCTAACTTTTGCAACCCCAATTCAAAGTTTATCTGAAAAGTAAACAGTTAGGAAACAGTGACGCAGCTGATGGATTTATTACACTACCTAAACAAAAGATGAATATTCATAGAAAACAAAGATAGCAGTTTGTAAAGATAAGTATCTGGTTGTGATAAGCGCGGTATCTGACTTAACATAACCGGTTTCTCATCTGCCGCTTCTTGCTTATTGG